AAGTAATAGTATATGTGAGATAGATATTGTACTCGAAACTCATTTCACTCCCTTGAGGGGGGAATATGCATAATGAGGACTTTTAAGCTTCTGCTTAGTCGATAATGGAGGGTGACTTCCACTCTTGAGCAAAAGCTCGACTGCATTGTTAAATTACTTTCATGCCGATTGAAAATGAACGGAACCTCATTGACTCGTTGCTGCTTGGATTGCGGGCTCAGTTCCAAGGCGTCGAAGTAAGCTTCTGAAGTAGGATGTGCCACTCCAAGCAATTTAGCACGATCTGTTTGCTTGCGAATGACATTGCCTTCTTTGAGCTCTTCTTTAGCCTTTTTCTAAATAAATCCTTTCAAATACCACACTTACACTTGAATGGGGCAAATCATGAAATTGCATTCTCACCCGAACCCGTTCAAAAGCGCCACCATGAACGATATCGAAGAAATCGCCGTCCTCTTTCACAAGTTTAGATAATATCTGATTACGTTCCTCAAACTTCCGACCCATTTCTTCCAAACGATTTTTCGCCCATAGATCACATTTTCGTCTCTAAATAGAGATTGTCTTCAAAGAAAGAAAAAGACGAAAGAAACACACGAAACATAAATAATCCCTGAATTAGTCTCTCGTTCTGTGAAGTAGTAGTCAGTTTATTGGCTCCAAACATCGAATTATACCATCAGAACAAGAATTTCATCCCTATCAAAGTTCGGTTTCACATATTAACTTTGTCTTCTTTATTAGCTTCTACAAAAGTATTTATTTATCTCAAGGAACAACCGTAACTTCCATCTAAATAAGATATCATGCATATTTAGTCAAGCAGTTTAAAAAACTATTGGAAGACAGATCCAATCAAAAAGTGAAACGTCCAAAAAACAAGTGATACTAGAACCAAAAGACGGATTGGACTTTTAGACTAATGACCACGCAGACGAGGTTTTCGTATTGAATTGAGCTACGATCAAAGAATAAGGGAATAGGAGATTAGGCAACACATTCCTATACCACTTTCAATGTAAAAGTTGAAGTTGTCTGCAACTTTTGCAAGGATGAAATTGTTGTCTAGTTGAAAATAAAATCAAAATGATACGACCACAGAATATGAGAAAAATCATTAGAGAGTGCAGTTGCGAAAAATGTTAAAATGTAATAGAAGTGAGAAATGACTTACCTTTCCTGGACTTCTCAGAAACTTCACATTTTTTGAATGGTTGTCCTCCTCTAACGTGATTATTAATGGATCTTCCTTAGTGATCATATCATCGCTTATCTAGGAAGGTATCATTTAATATTAAATTCAGAAGGTAGACTCTGACACTAGCAAAACTCACACTTTTCGCACTCCTTCGAAAAGAAACCGTTGGCGCAGCACTTTTCCAAGGCGAAATACACGCTGATGATGATCGTCTCATTGTTCTACATGATTTTCTCTCTTCCAGTCGACTTGAACTAGATAGACCTGTGAAATGTGAGTGATGAAACCAAATTTGGAAGAAAAATAATGAGCTAATTGATGACGACTGGATTGTAACTAAACTGTTCCACTCACCTTGTCTTTTCAGGAAAGGCGATAGTGTGATTGATTGCTTCCTAAAAGGACTACAAGGGACCGCTTTCCTTTTGTGAGGACTGCCAGATTGGCTTTCTGGACTCGAGAACAAATCATCCGAGTCCAGAATTTCGATGCTTTGTGTCTTGCCTTCTGATAAGGAATCGAACAAATCCTGAGAATCCTCTTCATCACTGTCCGCAAGGGTAATGACTTCAGGTTCTCTGGTAGGTGAGGAGATCTTGTAAGGCCCATGATGTGGCCTTTTGAAAGACATGATGAGATATTCACATTCTGTAAAGTATTAGGATGAAACATCCAAAAAATGAAGCTTTCAGTGTATGTCATATGCTCAAAACGGAAAGCAATGAGCTTGAAAAAATGAGGGAGGGAGAACTCAGATACTCCGTAATCTAAGCGGAGCCCTACCTTGTTCTGCATAAGCAACTAGCGCCGCAGTAATTGGAAGGAAGAGGATCTATCTACAAGTATTCTTCGGACTGTGCCTTTTGTTCTACAGATAGTGGATCAAACAATCGACACCTTGTATTTTTTGAGGCAAATTATCTCTAATAATAAAGTAGGCTTTGGACAGCTTAAAAACGACCAGGAAAAAGCTGGATCTAAGATAAATACGCTATATGCAGTGGGAAGCATTTGTAAAGCAGATTATTTGTATGCAGATGGTAATTGTGTCAAATAAAAAAACAGAGTTGGGTGATCATGACAGATAAACATAACTGCTTAAATGATGAGAAAACTAGCGATGTCTAATTCATGTCCGCCATTTCTTCTCATAAGGAGAGAATTTCCCCTTGATTTTGCTTAGGCGAAAAGCGCGAAAAAAGGGCAG